CTGAGCTGTCAGCACAGAGCTCGACGCGGGGCTCGAACTCATCAGCCGTGAGATCATGACCTGAGCTGAAGTCGGACGCTTAACCGACTGAGCCACCCAGGCGCCCCGAGGCTCTCAGTTTAAAGAAAAAGATGTGGTGCTTTGACTTCCTGTGACCAAAAGGTCAGAGAAGAAGAAGAAGAAAAAAAAAAAACAAAACACTTATGAAGACAACATGGGAGGAGGCATTTTGATCCCAGGGATTTATACAAGAAGCTTTTGGTTTCTAGTTGTCAGGAAACTTAGGAGGTAGTTGGGGCTGCCCTAAAAGTGAATGCGGTGCTAGGATGAATTAGCAGAGGTATTACACTGAAAACAAGGAAGGGGATTTCCCATGCTGGCCTCTGCTGGTCTATTCATATCCAGAGAAGCATCGGCATCCTAGTGATTGCCAACAATGGAAGTTGACCACTTGGAAGTGGCAAGACTGAGGGGCCCAGGGCCCCTGACTAGAAACCGTCGAGGGAGCAGCAAAGGGCAGGCCTGTGGGGAGGGAATAACTGGTCTCTGAATTGTGCAAAGACCACTGTGGGAAGAAGAACTCCCTTGTGCTTTGTGGGGTCCTAAGGGGCAGTATGACGTTGTCAAGGGGAAAAGGAGGGGGTTCTGCTCCATATCAGGAAGAAGCCTCCATTGCACGGTGATCCATTCATTGGGAACCGGCTTGGTCTGGGAGCAGTGAGCCCTCATTAGTGACAGGGAGCAGAGCCCAACACAGCTGGCCAGGATGGAGGGGGGATTTCAGCTTTGGATAGGAGGAGATGAGCTTATTTAGATCAGCATTTCCCAGTCCCTTCAAAGTCGCCACAAACCCAGAACATAATCGTGTCTGCAGGATCACCGCGAAGGATGACGTTTGTCAAAGCTGAGGGTGGCTAGCTAAGGCACTCTGGCTGCCGCGGGCCCAGGACTTGGGAAATTCTGGCTCAGACAACCTTGTGGGCTCTGGGAGCTTTTTCCAGTGCTAAGTATTCTCTTGCATTGTCTTATTTAATTTTCTCAGCAACTATCTGAGATGTATGGGCTGTTCCCGAGATACCTGTGTGAGAAGAGAGGACCGCAGGGTCAAGGTGGTTAACTGAGCTGCCCAGGGTCACATCCCACGCAGGAAGGGATGGAGGCCCGGGTCAGTGTCCCTCCAAGACCTATACTCTTAGCACTTCCCTTCACCTATGGGTGACCCCTGTTCTCTGTTTGCCCTCAGGGGTTCCCCGGAGACATCGGCCCCCCTGGGGACAACGGCCCAGAAGGCATGAAGGTGAGTCCCTGCCTAGGGCAGCCCCAGTCTCTGCGGAAACCCCAGGCCTCCAGGGCTGGCTCCCTGGCTTGGAATTGTTGGGGGTCTCGCCAGCCTCTGCTGGATGTGGGGGTGTCGCCTCTGAGACAGCTTTTTGTTCCCTTCTCACCAGGGTAAGCCTGGAGCTCGAGGCCTGCCGGGACCCCGTGGGCAGCTGGGGCCCGAGGTGAGACTGTCTGCCCCCTGCCCCCTGCCCATCCCCTGCAGCCCTGCCTGCTCCATCCTGGGTCCTGGAGGCCTCAACCAGGGCAAAACCCTGGGCTGCCCCAGACTTGCCTTCCAGCTCATCCTTTCCAGTCCTGCCCCGTGACCCTGCCAAGGTCGTTCTCTGACCTGGCCTGGCTGGCAGGGCAGGTCACTCTCTCCCTCCACGGCATCCCCATTGCCCCGGGGTTTTCTCTCTGGAGGCCACCGCCTCTGCTCCCGCCCGCAGCACAGCTTACCGGGGCGTTGGGCGGGGGGGGGGGGGGGGGGGGGGGGGGGGGGGGGGGGGGGGGGTTGGGTAGAGTAGAAATTATCAGCTCCATTTTACAGGTGAGACCCTGACACTCAGGGTGGAGGCACTGTGTTGGGTCCCATGGTCAATGGTAGGCAGGGTCAGGATTCAAAGCCATGTCTGCTTGAGCCCAAAACCCATGACAGAGACCCTGTGCTATTAACTCCGTGTTCCTGGGAGCTGCCTGGGGGGCATCCCCAGAGAATTCTATGACTTGCAGCGCTAGTGAAGGACAGATTGGAGATTTGCTTATTTCCTCATTCATGCTGAAGGGGGTGAGACGTTCTCTGTGGGTGGGCCTGTTGGGCACCCCATGGGCTGGCCCCAGGTTTTCTCTGCACACGAGGCCCCCCACCACCCACCTGGGCTCAGGCCCCAAGGCTCCCATGACACACAGCCCTGGGTGAGGGTACAGGAGGCCCCGACTTGCCACAACCACAGGCACGCATCCAGCTGACATGGATCCCTTCACAGGCTGGTTTTGGGTCTGGCGGGGTCCCAGCGCTGGCTCCGGGAGCTGCCACGTGGGGCTGTTTTCCTGGAAACCGGGTGTGGGGGGGAAGCTCCGGAGAGGGCCTCTTGGTCAGGCCTGCCATGCCAGAGAGACCAGCTTGGAGGCTTCCCCTAGCCTGCGGGAGGGCCAGGAGTGGAAAGGGAGGGGAGGGGAGGGGCGCCAGCTACGTGCCTCAGTCTACACCCACGTGACCACTAAAGAGACTGCCACCTGCTCACATCTTCATGGATTCATTCATCCACTCTCGCATTCATTCACTTCTTCGTCTCCTCCCTCTCTCATGCCCCTGTCCCCACCTTCACTCACCACACGTCCATGAGATGCTGCACACCTATCTTGAGTGGTGTTTGTAATGGTGTAGGGGATGGGGCCTCAGGAAGGAATAAGAGATCATCACTGTCCTCCAGCAACTCAACTTAGGCTAATCATCATACTTTAGGATGATCCTCTCCATTCTGCACCATTCTACAGGGGAAACTGAGGCACAGTGAGGCTAAGGTTTGCCTTAGCAGAATCAATGGCAGAGCTCAGGATAGGGCTCATATCTTTGAGCTGCAGCCTGGGGCTCTGTATCCACAGCATATGAAAGGGTTTGACTTTCGGCCCAGCACTGTTGCGAACCTGGGCCTGTCACATTCAGATGACATGGGGGGGTCCCATTCATGCAGATGTCCTTGTGTGGCCTGAGAGGGGGCCCAGCAGGGGGACCAGAGGTACCCTTTCTCTTGGTCCAGGAAGGCTCTCCTCTGTCCATCCCTTTCCCTCCTTACAGGTCAAGTTCTCTGAGAGTCTCACTGGATTAATTTCTCTTCTTTTCCTCTCTTGTGTCTCCCAACTCTAGGGAGATGAGGGACCCATGGGGCCACCCGGGGCCCCTGGCTTAGAGGTGAGTGTCGCTGGCCCCCAGGGGAGGTGGGATTTGTCAGCGCTGAGCGAGCTGTGTGCAGACAGATGACATCTGGGTGGTGCTGTGCAGAGAGGTCATCAGAGGGAGCCTTGGGCCAGCCAGAGAGGGGACTAGAACAGACACCAAAGGAGAGAGACAAGAGACAGGAAGCTGGCCGGCCGTGGTGGCCCGGCTGCCATGTGCTGGGCTTTGTCTCTACTCTCCTACATTTGATTCTCCATGAGAGTGGCATTGCTGGTCTGGGTGTCATCCGAGGCCATCGGGCTCAGAGTGAGGGGTTGGCCCCGTGTCTCAGTCTAGAACCTAACCTTGCAAGCATCCCGCCCGACTGCTCAGCCCCAGGTGGCCTCTCACAGGGTCCACCCCAGCTGACTGTGTAAACCAGCAGTGTGTGCGCGCTTTGGTCCTGGGGCCTGATTACCCTCTCAAAAAAACAATCAGGGACCCCCGAACGCTTTTCTTTGTGTGCGTTCCACCTATTGATATTAGTAATTAAAACTGAAAACTTTTCAATGTATTTATTAATTCATTTGATGGAATAATAAACCCATTTCATGTTAACAAAAATAATAGTTCTACAAACAAGACAAAACAACACAACCCAACCAGCTATGTTTTCCAAAGCAAAATGATCTAACGAAAAGAGTGGCATTGTTTTACCATTTTTGCAAATCTCTTTAATGTCGGGTTTAATAGAAGTCGGCTGGGTTCTCCCATCTGCTTCTGCATTCAATCTGTTCCTGCTACCACATGTCATGTCGCCTCTGGAAAAGTCCGCTCACACTCAGGAGGAGAGAGACACAGTAAACAGTGTCTTAGCATTATTACGAACCATAGTTCTGAGGTTATCAGTCCCTTGAAAGGGCCCCAGGGACCACAGGGATCCCCAGACCACATTTTGAAAACCACTGGTATAAACTCTCCATTCCTCTGGGCCCTTTATCTTCTGTGCCCTCCTCCCTTTTCCTCATTCCCTGAAAGCGGGTTTCAACATCCCCATTTACAAACAGGACAGGCCTGCGAGGGGAGACTTCCTTGAGGTCACACAGGTGCAGACCCCTCCCTGCATCTCCAGCATAGCCTGGTGCCCCCGGGGCTCCAATTCCCTCCCCCCCGCATTGTGACCCTCTCCTGCACCAGGGCTGGGACCCCGGCGAGGCTGCCTCTGCCCCCCACTCACTCACCTCTCTCTGTTGCAGGGCCAGCCTGGCAGGAAGGGGTTTCCTGGTAGGCCCGGCCCGGATGGCATGAAGGTGAGGAGTCCTGGAGGCGACTGGGCTTGGTGGGTTGAGGGGGACACCGGGGGAACAGAAGAAAAGGGGAGCCAGCCAATGAGGGCCCCAGGAAGGACCCCAAATCCCACGGGCAGTTGTGCAAAGGAGGGCGATGGTCCCCATTATCACAACGTATTGGTACCAGAGAGGAAAAAACGACCATAACCTGAATGTCCAACAGCAGAGTAGTGTTCAAGTACCGGGATACAATGCGACCACGAAAGGTGGTGTAGTGGAAAAGTTCACCGGATGGGAAATGCCCGTGCGCGTCGACGTGGTGGAGGCAGGAAGCAGGTTACGGATGGAAGGTTAGGCCCCGGCCTGTGGTGGGGGCTGATTGTGCCGTGTTCCCGGGGGCCCGGAGCAGAGGCTGCAGTGTGGACGGGGGCTCTCTCTGGGTGGTGAGAGTATAGGACGTTTCCGTCTCCTTCTGTGGGCCTCTAGGTTTTCCCCATCCTGTGCAGTAAATATGTATTATATTCGTTAACAGGTTTTTGGGGTTTTTTTAATTGTCCTAAAAGAACCAGCCTGCGTAGGAGGGTGATGACCCCGGCACACGGGCCCATGGGCAGCCTCGCTCACGGGCTTTCCCAGGACTCCCCTTGGGGGCCATGTTGGGCCACGTTTGCAGCTGGGCCAACTCACCAGGGTTAGGGCAGAGCCAGGGTAGCTCAGGTCATCCGTGTCCCCCTCCACTCGGGGAACATGGCCCGTGTGCCTGGCCCCTCTGGTCCTCTGGGCCCCTCTGGGCGTGAGGCCTGGGGCAGGAGCTGGAGGGGAGGACGAGGCACAAACCCCATGGCGGTGAGCCGCGTTCATTTGTGAGCCAAACTCCTGGCTAGTCCGAGCCCTCGTCCTGCCCTCTGAGGTCTGGGTCTGTCTCCCTCGGATACCAGCTGGGTTTCTGTGGTGGGAGCAGTGACACAGTCTGGCTGGATTTATCCCACGGGTCTGCTCGCCTCTCTGCAGCTCGCGCCGTGGGGAGACCAGGGCAGCCGTGGCTGCCGCAGGAGCAGGAGCCACCCCAGCATGGGATAAAGCTGGCAGACAAGGCTCCAAGAGGCCACCAAGCGTGAGAGCTGGAAATAGCCTACAAGACAAATGAGTCTGATTTCCCTTATTTATAGTTAGGGACGCTGAGCCCAGGGCAGGGACAAAACTCACCAGTCATTTTGTGAGCCGGGAGCAGAGCTCTGGTGGGTTAGCGTCTAGGGTGCAGGTGCCCCGACTCCCTAATTCCCTGCTCGCCCTGTGGTGGGGCAGCTTGATACAGTAGGAATGGGGATTTCAATCCGTCAGGCCAAAGTTTCCAATTCTAGCCCTACATCTAGCTTGCTGTGTGGCATTGAGCAGATCGCTTCGCCTCTCTGAGCTTCATTTGCCACCTCCACAACATGCGGCAGGTTGATGAAGGGCCCAAATTAGATTCAGACATCAGGGCGCAAGTAATGGGTGGCTAGGGCCATGTCTGGGGCCAGAGGTTCTGTCCAAGTGTCCCATGTCCCCGCCGTTTGAGATCTGTAAGGCCAGACGCTGGAGTTGAGGTTCCTACCCTTCCCTACCGGTGGGGGCTAGGGCCAGTCAGCTGGGGTGTCCCCCAGGGGGACCTGGACCTCCCATCACCCATCCCAAGCCATCTTTCTCTTTGCTTCCTTGCAGGGAGAGCCGGGTGACCCTGGACGGCCAGGGCCAGTGGGTGAGCAGGTAAGTCAATACTGGTCTCTGAACACAATGACTCTCTTTATCGAAAACTCACTCTGTGCCAAGCCCTTTGGTGAATGCTCCACATGCACCTGCCTTTTGTCCCCCTGCCTAGCTCCTGGGGTCAGTTAGCTAGTCTCCGCTTTCCACTGATATGGCCACTGACTCTCCGTGGGGGTGAAGTCACCAAACAAGAAAGCCGTGAATCACAGTCCCATGGCCTAGCTCTGTGGATGTTTTTGGAGCGTTGGTCCCAAAGGGGTTACATGACTTTGCTCCCAGAACGTTAAAACTGGAAGAGCTTCCACTAATCGCCCGCCGTGCCCCATTTACAGATAGGGAAGCTGACAACCAGAACCATAACCACCTGCCAGGGGCTCTTGGCCCAGGCAACCCTCACTTAGAAGGAAAGTGAAATTCAAGCCAGGGGCTCTGGGAGGCGGGGAAGTCAGGCGAAGTTCTGAAGAGGAGAGGGGGCCGCGAGTCGTCGTTAAAAAGGAGGCTTGAGAATCACGACCTTCATTATTGAGGCCCAGGGTCCTCGGTGCTACAGAGAAGCAGCTGTGAGTTCTGGGAGAAGAGACCGCAGGGCCCCTCCTCTGTAGCCCAACACAGCCTGAAAGCCTAACCTCTGGGCTTGGACGGCAGGTCGAAAGGTAGCGATCTCCTCCACTGCCTTAAAGAAGGACCTCACCCCCTCAACTCTGCAAGGCACTGGTTCAGGCCAGAAGAAAGAATGGCGTTGGGGACCCTGAAGAATCTCTCTGCTGAGAAACGCCATCAGTGGCGTGAGAGTCGTGCACGACGGGTTTCCTCACCAGGCCTGCAACATCTGTTGGGGGGAAGAAAGGAATTAAAGCAGGGGGTGGACTGGATTTTTGAAACCTTTCCAGTGTCATTCGAGCGCATTCTGTGGGAAGCCCGGGAGTTTGGAAGGGCTGTCACGGCCTGGATATATTTCCTGATTGGAAAAAAAAAAGGCAATGCGATCAGCAAATTTAATTTCATAGTTATGCTGATGGTAAGGGCCCTCGGGAAATAGATACTCAGAATCCTAGGATGTTGGAACACGGAGGGTCCTTGCACAGCACTCTGTCCTGGGGTCCTAACCTTTTTTGTGCCTTGGGCCCTTTGGCAGGCTGGTGAAGCCCATGGACCCCTTGTCAAGAATTAGAGTTTTTAAATGCACAAAAATGCCAAATGGAGGATTGCAAAGGCAATCGATTATATTGAAATGCAATTTATGAAGGTATGTTAAGTGCCATCTACTCACAGCTATCCTTCTTTACGAACGCTTGAATAATGAGATCCAGTAGCATGTCTAATAGCAAAGCCTCAATTTTGAACAGTGACAAGCCTTAGTGACACATTTTGAAATCTCTGCGACGGTGACTGCACTGTGACGTGTAAATATCTGTGACAGTTACAGGTATCGTGGGTTTGTCGGCTACACTCACGTTTGAGGGAGATGCCCAGTTTCAGCTAGAGATCGGTGAAAATAAAAGTTGTAATTTTTTTTCCTAGTCAAGCTCGGGGACCCCCTGAATTCCATCCCCAGAGCCTTCCAGGAACCCCGGTTTAGCCCACGTTGGCCACCTGGTTGACAAAGATGACTAAGCAAAGAAGTAGCGAAAGCTGGGGCCAGGCGGAGAGGGCATCTGGCCTGGGGCAGCGGCACGAAGGTCCCCGTGGATGGCGCAGTCCCTCGCTAGCCGCCTGGCTCGCTGGGACCATAGCAAGAGAGAGGGGCCTGTCTGAATTGTGAGACAGAGCTGGAGACCTGTGGTGGGGGTGCCACGCCAGCTGTGCCCTTGGCCCCTCCCCCGTGTGGAAAGGGGCAGGTATCTCCTGTTCACGGCAGAAGCAGAGGATCCCCATGAAGGGTTATAAGGTCCTCCTTAGGATCACAGTATCGGCCACACTGATTGGGCTCCTGCATCAGGCTCCGTAGCAAACACCGTCGCCCCCACTGCCTGCAATTCCCTCCCCAACCCAGGGCGGTAGATGTTAGTCTCCCCATTTCACGGATGAGGAAACTAAGGCTCTGAGGAGCGAGGCAGCTTGACAAGATCTCCCCCCAGGCAGTAGCACAAGTGTCAGAGCCAAGGTTGACACTCGGGGCCGCTGGGTTCCCAAGATCCACCTTGGAGGGACTGGAAAAACTTTAGACCTCCTGACCCCTTGCTGTTCTGTAACAGCTACTAAGTAAGAGTGCAGATGGCTTGCCAGCAAGCCCTGTCCTAGGTGCTGGGGACACAAAGATGATCACAGGCATGGGCCTTCCCTTTAAGAAGCTCTCTCTGTCGGGGGAGAAGCCAGGCATGTAAACACTCCCTCCCTGAGATGTCTGTTCCAGTAGAGAACCCACAGCTGTCCTGTTCCCAGTTGCACGTCCCAGTGCCTGCCGAGGGAAAGGAAGGAGGGAGGGAGAAAAACTCCCATAAGCAGACACCAGCCCTTTTATCTGTAGACAGTGTGAGGACCAGGGCAGGCTCCTTCCCCAAATCGGGGACTCAGATCCTGCCCGTGCAGTGCCCGCTGTGGGTGACCATCCACCCCTATGTCCTCACGCCAGCTGGAGAGGAGCCCGCGGTGCCCGCAGCGGTCAAAGCTGCTTCTCCACCCTGCCCCCCTCCACCAGGTGGAAGCCCTGGGCCCCTAGGGCTGGTTTCCTGGCCAGCTTCATCTCAACCCACAGACTGGGCCTGCCAGGATCTTCTGGGACACTGCCCCATGGGTGTCCTGGGGGCCGGAATGGGGAAGTGGGGCACTTGCTGTATGGCCCTTATTCATTAGGATCCTGTTTGGCTTCTTGTTTGAGGTTTATGACCCGCGTGCCTTCCAGGACCCAACAACTCATAAATTTAAAGTAGCTATGAAATTTCTGTTTCTCTGGGCCAGTCGGGCAGGGGCCTCTTAACAGAGCCGTTTTTATTCCCTTCTCTCGGCATCCTCTAAATGTCTGAGTGCTCCCTTGTGGGGCGCGCGGGCCTCCGTCTTAACCCTGTGCCCTTTTAAAATAAATTAGAACAGGACGGGAGGGAACTAAGGTTTATGGAGTGCCTACATGTGCCGTGCATTATCTTCAATACTCAGAACAACCCCGGGGAGACCGGGAAAGACCTTTCCCTAAAGCGCCCCCCTCTGCAGGTGATGAGGCTCTGAGAGGCTCTGTGACTTACCCAGGGTCCACAGACCTAAAGACTGGGTGACAATGACAGGAGAAGTGTCAGGTGTAGGGCCTGGCACTCTGTAAGTGCCGCCTGTTGTTAGTAATATTGCCGTCACCTTGAAAATAGTCTGATTTTTTTTTTTGTTAAGTCGCTAAAAAGTAAGTCAAATACTTGGTTACTGTCTGTGACTTATTAGCCATGACCTCATACCTGGTGCTCACTCCTCTCGCGTCATACCTCAGCCCGGAAGGGTCTCTGAGCCCAAAGGACCAGGACCTCCGTTGTGCAGCAATGGTGCTGGGGTATGGGGTGGGGGGTGGGGGGGCGCTGTGCCTTGCTCATGGCCACACGCTTTGGAGGCCCTGGGGTGGAGGCACAGGTACATGGGCCTTGGAGCCACTCGGACCAGGAGTTGAACCCCAGGCAGCCAGCAAAACGTACATGGTGCGTGGCCAGACCTGAAAACGGTCTCTGAGACACAGCTCACCCTTTGGAACTGGGCACCATGTTTTCACTCTAGTTGATTGACAGGTTGGCCAGCTGATTCTCCCAGAAACTCTTGGCTGCAAACCTGAGTTCTTCCCAAGCCATTGTCCAACCTCTCAACTGCACAAGACCCCCCTCCCCCCCCCTCCCCAGCTCCGGCCAAATCTTCCTTAAGATATTATAGGGGGTCTGGACAAGGAAGTGTCTGGTTTCCTGGGTGGCTTCTCCAGGCTGTTCAGCTTCGCTGAGCGGTGCTTGTGTGTCTACTCAGGGCCAGCGTGAGGTCATAGCCCAGAAGAGCCTCCCACAGAGGCAAGTTATCACCCAGTGGAGTTAAAAAAAAGCAAAAGGAACCGCAGCGTGAGTGTGTGCCCTTCAGAAAGGAGAGGAAGCCTTTCACAAGACAGTATAAAGGCCTCTACTTCCTATGTTTCAATCAAGACTTTTGGCGGAGGCTGTGACACTGTTTCCATCCTGGCTAAGGGTTTAGGAGGGAGAAGGGGAGAAGGGAGAAGAGAAGGAGAGTTTGTTTCTCTCTTTGAAACAGCCCCAGAGCCCGGAAAGATGGGGACAGATTTCCCAGCACCGCTTAAGGGCCATCCCTGCCCGCCCCTCCCGCACCCCCCCCAAACGTGACCGCCTCCCAGCCTGCTTCTGGCACAGGAAGAATGTGTGGAGCTCCCAGGGATGCTGGCAGCGGCCCCACTGCTTGGCTCCCGAATCAGAACCATCTGGTGGAGTGAGGGAAGTCAGGACAGTGCCTGGAGAGAGGCAGCTCTCCTCGGTGCCAGCCCCACGCCTGCCTGCCGCATTACCAGGCACCGGGGAGGAGCCCCAAAGAGACGGGGAGATGTGGGCCAGCTGCCTCTGAAACTCAACACATCCTTGCATTCACGTTGCTGCCTCTTTTCTCTTGCCTTCGTGAATGTTTCTTCTAGGGACTGCTGGGATTCATTGGTCTGGTTGGGGAGCCGGGGATCATGGGAGAAAAGGTGAGTTGTGTTGGTGGGGGCAGCGGGGTAGAATATAGAAACAGATAGAACCCGTGGTTGAAATCTTAAAAATGATGAAGGGGCCAGTTGCCCTGAGGATTTCAGACTTGCTTCCCCTGTGGCTTCCCCTGGCTTCCCTAGCGTTCCACACCCTCAAAGAGCCATTGTCCCCTTTCCCAGCACCCCCTGGGGGCTCTGCCCTGCCCTCCTGCAGGAGCAGCTAATGCACTTGCTGCGGGCCTGCCCGCCTGCTCACTGGCACAGCATAGGGGCGGGCGACAGAAGGGAGGTAAAGAGCCATCTTTTTGAAAAAGGGCACAGTTCCTTAGGCTGCCTCATTAGTCCCCTGGCAGCTCTGTTTTACAGACCAGACAACCGAGGCTCAGACGGGGGAGGGGGTGGGGGGGAGGCTGACTCAATCAAGGTCGCCCAGGTAGGAAGTGACAAAGCTGGGATGTGAACCAGGTTCAGTGCCCGGGGCCTCACGTTAGCTCCCAGCTCACCAGCACCCTGTGGTTTCCACTTTCCCACCACGGGCCCTGGAGGGTACCTGCTTTCCTTTTATGGGTTTGTCTGATCCCCAAGCTGGCCTTGCGGGGTGCCCGTATTATTCCCACTGATTGGATAGAGAAACTGAGGTCCAGAGAGAGGAAGCCTCTGCCCTACCATGACCACCTTCTCCTCCTCCTCTGTTTTCTCTTCTTCCTCTTCTCTTTTTAATTGATCTTTTTATTTTGAAGTAATTATAGAGTCACAAGGTGTTGCAAAAAGCAGTACAGAAGGCACCCTGTGCCCTCCCGTGGTCACATCTTGCACGACCACAGTGCGATATCAAACCAGCTCTGGCCTTCCCCTGTTGCTCAAATGTTCCGTGTCCCTCCGCACCTACAAACCGTTGCCCGTGCCCCTCCCCCGGCCAGGTACACCCCTCCTACTCCCACCCCTCCACCCTCTCTGCCTTCAGCTCCCTCGGGTCAAGCAGGTCTTCCCGAGGGGGGCCTCGGGGGGCACCCGCGAGCCCAGGTGCCTCAGATCCCCTGCTGAAAGGCCTTAGCACCGAGACCCACGCCCCCACTGCACTGCCGCTGGTTTGCATCTGCGTTGGTGATTTGTGTCCGTCTCCCCACGACACTCAGGGTCTCGCGGCCCATGAGCAAGGTCTGTCTGTGCTCCTCACCATTGCATCTTCTGGGGCTGGCGTGTCGTGCCAGGCCCGTAGAAGACGTTCGGTAAATGTTTGCCGTCTGAGTAGATACAAAACACAGGGCCTCACAAAAACAGCCAGGATGCAAAGCCAGAGCCCCTTTCGCCAGCAGCCTCTGACTCCTCCACCCACCATCTCTGCCCGGACTGTCTGGATGGATCAGGAGGAAGAGAGTTGCATCTCAGATGCCCCAGCATCTCATCTCTGTCCGGGCGAGGGAATGGGGAGAGTGAGAGCGCCTTCCCTTACCATCTCCACCTCAGCAGGCCCAGCCCAGGGGACGCCGTGCCCACTAGGACCACATGACATGGGCCAGCATCACAGGGGACAGTGTCATTAGCTCATCCTTGCTCAGGATCACCCTTGCCCGAGGGAAGCCCTCTGTGTGGCATGCCACAGTGGATGCCGAGGCCTCCCAGGGCTTGCCGGGTTCCTGGCTTCTGCTGAGCGAAATCCCAGCGCCCCTTCACCTGTCACCACCCTGGGTGATGCGGCTCTAGACTTCAGACAAGTCCCTACCCCCTCCTTTTTGGCCTCTGGAAGGCTTCTGCACCTGCTCCCCAGAGAGCCACCCCACAGCCATCACCTCCCTGAATTGCTGTCTCCATCACAGGGTGACCGGGGCATGATGGGACCCCCAGGCGCACCTGGACCCAAGGGATCGATGGTAAGGAGCAAGTGTGCACGCCTTGCCCTCTCCTATCACTGTCGTGGTGACAGTTCTGCTCTCCTCTGCCTGCTTCCGCATACCTTGGGCATTCAGAAAGACCCACCCCTTCCCCTTCCAAGAGGCCACCCTCATGGCCCTGGGCTGGGGCTGGGGCTGGGGCTGGGCCGCCGGGGGCGGAAGGAGGAAGGGCCACCTGCTTCAGCTGATTCCTTCTCTCCCATCTCTTTCTTGGCAGGGTCATCCTGGAACTCCCGGTGCAGTTGGGACCCCTGGAGAGCCCGGACCCCGGGTAAGCAAAGCCCTCATGTTCCCTGAGTTCAAACCCACTGCCGAGTAATGGTGAGGAGTCCAGACAAAACCAGAGTCGGACGAAACCCGGGTTTGAGTCCCAGCTCCATATTACCAGGGAAGATCATTGAACTTCTCAGAACCTAAATTTTGCTCATCTGAAACACAGAGAAAATAATCGTGGGTCATGATAGTGTCATCACATGAGTTAAATGAAACTGGGCAGCTAATGTTCATTATGTAGTGATGTTCCTTGCACGGGGTATCTTGGTCATTAACGCCATCATCGCTTTGTTCATTCACTCCAGAAATACCCTGTCACGTGTGCCTGAAGCCGCTCCAGGAGCGGGGGACAGCAGCCGTGAACAAGGCAGAAAACTGCTGCTGCCCGTTAGGAGATTATATTCTGGCATTTGAGAGAGAGAACCCCATAAATAAGGGACACCTGCTATGGAGAAAGTAGGGGAGAAGATGAGAAATGCTGGGGACACATTGGATGAGGGTTAGAGCATGGAGGTGAGGACACGAGGAGCCTGGGCTTGTGATGATTGAGGGCCAGGGGTATTCCTGAGGATCCCGAGGCAGGGAGGAGTGGGAGAGGCGGGGTAGTCAGAGTAGGGGACCCCATCTGCTCTCCTGAAGGTGATGTTGGGGGTGGGGAGGGGTGGCTCTCATTCCGAGCCCTCAGAGTGTCTGTTCCCTCTGTCTCTGCTGACGGAGGCTGGAGGCTGGGAGGGGCTCTCACTTCAGCCAAGGCTCGGGCCCAGAGCTCGGAGCCCACTCTGGGGAGGTGGAGGGGTGGGCTCAGGCAGGTAGAAAGGGTATGGGGGATGACAGAGACCAGCGCAGGCAAGATCCTGGGACAGGGCCGGGACAATGAGTTCAGGCTGCCCAGGTCCCTCCAAAGGCCAGGCTGAGGGACTCCCTGGAGTCTGATGAGGGAGGAAATGGGAGGCTTTGATGGCCTGAATCCGAGGGAAGCATGCACACACCAGTTCTCTGTGCCAATTAGGGAGGCAAAGCCAGCTTGGTTCCCAGACTCTTCTGTGCACCTACTATGTGCTGGGCCTTTGCTCAGCCCTGAAGGTGCAGGACTGGTATGAAACACATCTGCTTCTAAGATCCTGTCTAGTGGGGGTGCCAAGTAGAAATAGCCTCCTGCTCATTAACAGACCTTTACTGAGCACCTACTGTGTGCCAGGCGTCAGGGGGGTGCTGAGGAGGGATATGGAGGCACTACCCCGGGAACGAGAAGCCGGCACACAAGTAACCATAATCCCAAGACTGAGGTGCCACGCAGCGGGTGGCTCTGTGTGCCCCCTACAATCCTTTTCATGAGGTGGAAAACTCACAGTGCAGAGGTGGGATGAGAGCCAGCACTCTGGGCTCCTGATGGCATATCTTTCCCTGTTAATGGGGAGGAGGCAAACCACTTCTGGCCTGGGGCTGGAGGGGCTGGTTGGTGGCTGAAGATCCCAACTTGCAGTCTGAGGGTCCTAGCCCACCCAGCCGGAAGGCTGCTGTCCCATCTCTCTCCCCAGTGTTCACGGGACCCAGGTACGAGGGTCTAGCAGATGCTCCTAGAGACAGAGTGACTGGGGACCATCAGTGTGGGAGGTGCCCAGGCTAGGGTCCATCAGCAAGTTAGAGCTCCTCTGCCCTTAGACCTCAGCCTCTCTGGGCCTCAGGCTCCCTATCTGTCCAGCGGGAAGAGGAGCCTGGAACAGAGTTGCTGAGGCAACATGGAAGGCCAGTGGGAGGTGGGAAAACAGGGGATGTCCCAGCCAGCGTACGGAGGGAAGGTGCTGGCCTCTGAATCCTCTACCTCCGTGGCTCCGCAGACCTCCTCCCCACTCTGTGTCTTCCTCAGTGCTTCTAACTGTACTGGGGGGCGGGGGTGGCTCAGACTGAGTCAAATCAGTCACACGCTGCTTTCAGACCCCAAGGTTGCCATTGATTCACCATTGCTGCATATGGGGCTGGGTCACCTGGATCTCTTGGGGTGCTTCCCGGCCAGCCAGCTGCCCTAGTGCTGTTGGGAAGCGGCATAGCACCGAGGTCCAGAAATCTGACTTCAGAATCAGACACATGTGAGTCAAATCCTGGCCACTTTCTAGCTGTGTGATTGTTGGCAATAGTCACATCTTCTCTGCGCCTCAGTTTCCCTGTCCGTAAGCCAACATCGTACTACCTTCATGATGAGGTTGTTATGAGAAACAAGTGGTAACAGTGCATGCTGTAATGCTCAGCAAATGATCTGCATATACTAAGTGCATAATGACTGGTAGTAATAAGAATTACTATTTATTAGATACGGTGATTACCACGATTATTAGTAAGACTTACTGTTAAGGTGACATTTCTGATGATACCGTTCACATCTGATGAGTATTTTCCCACTTTTCCAATCACATTAATACCCATGTCCTCCTACAGCCCATCGAGGTCAGCCCAGATCAAGACCTTCATTATGTGGGGGACTGGGGACAGGTTCCAGAACCTCCAGTTACTGCCCCCGCCCCCCCGACCGAGAGAGCCGATAGCTACCCTTTGCTGGGACTTCCCATGTCGTTTTGTCTTCCCAGCAACTCCGGGAGCTAGGGATTCTTCTTATCCCCATTGATAGATGATGAAACAGAGGCCCAAAAGGTGGAAATCACTTGCCAAGGTCACAGGATTAGGAAGTGGCAGGGCTGGGATTTGAACCTGGCTCTCTGATGGAGCAGTCTGCTCCTTTAAGTCCTCTATTCTACTGCCTCAGAGTCAAGACTTGGCTCCTGAAATTTCCCAGTGACGCATTGCATGCCTGCTGCGGTCCAAGATCCTGCTGTAAAATGGCTCGTCCTCACCCAATCTTCCCATCTCCTGCCATCCCGGAGTCAGATCTGCTTTCTTATTGGGCCAAGCCTGGGTCCTCACCCCGCTTGCTCTGCTGACAAGGGGCAAGTTGGGACCCAGCCCCTCACGTCAGCCCTTCGGCAGCAGCTGATGGAGGGTCTGTACCCCTCAAGGCCGTGGGGAGGGACGAACGGGAACAGCAACTTTTTCCTGAGGCCCCAAATGGAGCTGGGCCTCTCCCTGGTATTTGCAGGGGGCTGAAGCTGCCTCTTCCTTGTAGAAGGAGCACGCCCCGTCTGAGGCTCGCTGCTGAGCTGGGAGGCTCGTGGAGGGGTCCGGCTGGCCTGCTGTGCGTGAAGGCGCTGCTTGGTGTGTGCAGCCCGGGCCGGAACCCGGGGGAGAAATGAGGCAATGAGGCAGCCTCCTCCTCCTCCTCCTTCCAGCTTCCTTCCCACCCTCTGTCCTCGCCTGTTGTTAGGTTGTTGGTGGGTCCTTCAGCAGGTCCCCACGTTCCTGTCATGGGTCTGCGCTGTGCCAGGTGCTGGAGAACAAAGGCAACCCTGTGTTTTCCTTCCCTCCCTCCCTTTCTCTCCCTTGCGTCTCTTGTCATTCCTGCATCAAACCAGATAACCGGCGGCTTCCCTGGGCCAGGCCCTGTTCCCTTCTCCCTGCCTCCCCCTCCCTCACCCCAGGGCTACGGTCTGGTTCTTCCCCCGTCCTTACCCCAGGGCTCTTTCTGCCCTGGTCAAAGCTTGCAGCTGATAGTCGGGGTCAGGGCGGGGGACAGATCACGGGGCTGCCATAGTCTCCTTGCTGATGGAGAGAGAAAAGGGGGAATGGGCATTTGAGGAGAACCTTGGTCAGGCATGGCATGGTAGCTTCTGGTTGTCGATTTTGAGATACAGGAGAAAATGGCTCATCCATCCAGGGAGGCTTCTTCTTACTCCAGGACTCCCAGGAAAGGTTAAGCCCCCCCTCCCCCCCACCCCACCACATCAAGCCTAGGGCATTGACTCATGCTCAGGGTTACGGCTTGTGGGCCACTTCTCCCAGTGGGACAGCTTTTCCCACTGGGCTGCATCCTTCTGTGCAGAGGCACTGGGCCTGCCCAGGGGCCGCTCCCAAGCACTGCCTGTCTGAAGGCTGCGGCCAGGCTTCACCCCCATGCTCCTAGCCTTCCCTCTCGCCCCCTTGCTACCGGAAAGGGGGCTTCTCCAAACTCTTTCTCCTCCCCACAGGGTCCTCCAGGATCTCGAGGTCCACCAGGCATGAGGGGAGCAAAGGGACGCCGGGTAAGTAGGGCCCAGTCCCCGGGGGGCTGATGCTGGCAGGGGCCACCTGACAGAGAGGCTCCCTCCTAGTCCTTGCCCCCTGCCCAGCCCTGAGATTGGTGGTTTCCAGGAATCACATGGGGTTCCAGGCTCATCCTGGGCCTGAGTGTTGGCCTGGGACCCCCTTTCCAGCCATCTCTTCCAGCCCATTTCTGAGCTCCAGGCCTCGCCATCCAGTGGGTACAGGCCAGCTCTGTGGTACCTGTGTTTGTCCATCCATTCATTTAGTTGGTCATTCAACCGCCATTTATTTAGCACCGACTATGTGCCGGCCACTGTTGAAGGGTCTGTAGACACTGCAAAGAATGGGACAAGCATGACCCCTGCCTGCTCTCGTGTGGCTCAATCCAGTAGGTCAAAGAGATTGTATAGGGTCATTGGCACATAGCGTAGGGTCATTGGCACATTGATGGTGATGATGCACAGGCAGCTTGGGAGCCTGGAAAGGGTTTCAGAGAAGGCTTCAGGAGAGGAAGACAGCTGAGCTGATGCCAGGTTCTGGGCAACGGACCGCCCTAAGGTGAGAGAAGGTGTGGCATGCTTCGGGGTCTCCAGTGGTTCAGCAGAGGGGCAGGCGAAAGGGATGAGACGAAGAATTAGCAGGTGCCAAGCCTGCGAACAGCACAGCGAAGCCTGTGGGCTGCTTTCCAAGGGCAGTGGGGAGCCACAGGGGATTTTAAGCAAGGGCTGGCCTGAGCACAGTGGCCCGAGGTAATAATCACTAGTCCTTACTGTGTGTCAGGTACTGTCTGTCACGTTTCACTCATTTAATCTTCAACACTACTCTATAAAGAAGGTGCTATTCTTATTTCTGTTTTATAGACGAGGAAACTGAGGCACAGAGGGGTTAAGTCACTCGTCTCAGGTTGCACAGTTAGAAAGTGGCAGAGCTGGGATGGGGACCCAGGGAACCTGGCTCTTTGGCATACTGAATGTAGTCTCATTTTCAGTCATGCAGGGAGGGCTGATGCAGTGGTTTTCTGCCCCCAACTGGTGTCCGGGTGCTGGGCCAGGCAGCCTTGTAGGAGGGAAACGCCAAGGCACAGGTAGAGCCGGCAGCCGAGGCCTGATATCCAAGCTCCATACAGGGGATCTGTGATCAGTCTCCTCTTGGCTGAATTTCAAGTGGTTTTAAATTTTCCCCCAAACCAGATGGCCTGAACAGTCAGCCAGGGAGAGGGGGGATTAAGAGGCATTCCTCTGGCCCAGCAGGGCCCCTCCCAGTGCCATGTCCTGGGTCTCTGCAAGTGGACCCAGGCCTGCTGGCAGCCAGTTCCACCTTGACCCTGAGCATGTCACCCCCTGCCCCAGAAAGCCAGATTAGCTGGAGGGTTCAAGGTCCTCAACTCACAGCTTCCCCCCGCTGGCTTTACCTCCCCTTCCCAGCAGTGGCTTGAAGAATGTATCTCCTGCTTGAGGAAACCCAGGCTCCAAACCACATCAAAAGTCTCCGGGGCTGGGAGGGAAGCATCGGGAACATGAGCTCCTCCCCCCTGCTGGGTTTGGCAGGAATGCAAAACCTGTGGGAACAGCCCCTTGAGTCCCTGGCCTCATGGTCCACCATTGGCCACTTCACAGAAGGGTAACTGAAGGATAGGGGGGGGAATCCTAGAGAGACGCATACTGTGCCTGCAGAAGAGCTCAATTCTGGACAGGCCTCCACGAAGCCACTGGCTTGCCGAGTGACCTTAGCAAGACCTGGCCACCCTCCGAGCCTCGGTTTCCCCATATGTGCCATGGGGAATGTAGAAGGCCCTGCCTGCATCTCTGCCCATGTGCGGGAGGGGACGAGATGGGCCCTTAGGCCCTTGGCTCTTGGTAGAACTGCTGACAGGGTCTGGGTCCACAGGCCTCGGGGGCTCGGGGTCAGACAGGGGCAAGTCCCAGCCTTCCCAGTTATCAGTTCTGGAACCTCAGGCCTTGGTGGGTGACATGAGGAAGAAGTTGTGAGGACCCGGAGTATGAACGCACATCAGCTGGATGCCCATTTCTCCCACGGCCGCCAGTCACTCTTTATCAGTGTGGGAGTGAACTCCCCGTCACAGGGGGATGTGGAGGTCGGGGTCTGCTCTGGGACAGGGTGCTGGAAAAGACGACGTCTAAAATCCCTGTTCGTTACCTGGGGGATTCCACAGTCTCCCTCCACCACCCACTTTGAGGGAGTCGTGAGGATTCTGAGGTTCACGTGCCTGACATTAGACTCTGCTCCCATGAATGGGGCTTAGAGCTCCTCGAATCTTGGCTCTCCCTCTTTGGCCCTGGGCAACTGACTCCTCTCTGGGCCTCTAGCTTTCCTCCGCAAAATGGGTGAACAAAACAGAACTAGCCTCTCCAGAGGGCCCTGGGGTTAAATCCCTTTGCAGGCTCCTTGCGCTCGGTGAGCACCCGATAGGGCAGCGGTGCGGGAGGCGCTGGGCGCCTGTTCGTTCCCTCCTGGCTGTCCATCCCTTTGTCACAAGAGCTGTAATTGGCCAGATTTTCTGTCCCGGACTGCCCGAAGGGCAGCCCCGGCTCTGACTGCAAGCTTCCTCCTGGGGAGTGGCTACAAGAGGACAGACATGTGGTTCTGATGGAAAACCCAGGCCTGCCTCCAGCAGCGCTGGCTGGCCTGTGTTCACTTGGAGAAGGAGCGAGCAGGACTGGGGGGCCCTCGGCACACAGGACGAGCTACAGCGTGGCCCAGAGCAAGAGCTATGGGGCCCAGCCTGCTCCTCTCCCTGCCCTAGGGGGCCGGGGTTGGGGGGAGGGTGGCTGGGCCCCCTCCTCCCTCCAGGCAGCACCAGCTTCTCCCCGAGCTCCCTGGGGGCTCCCAAGGCATCGCCATCTCCCAGCTAACAGGGAATTTAGACATTGTCTTCTCCAGCATCCTGCTCGGGCCTTCACGGCTCCTGTAGGCCCTGACCTGCACACCCCCATGATGGGGAGCGCACTCCCACGCTGAGAAGCAATGACAGGGAGTGGTGAAGAGAAATGGGCCTCTGGCGGAGTTAGGTTCAGTCTGGCTTCTCCGCTTACCAGCAGCGTGACCATAGGCCGTTTCCTCACTGCAAAACGAGGATGAGAGCTGTGAGTATCCTCGCCACCACCACTGTTTCACTACCATTATTACAGATCTCAAAACCGTTCTCTCCGAAAGGCCTTGATTCCAAGGACAAATAGGGTGCTGTGTGATTCAGACCAAGCCATCAACACCTCTGGGCCTCCACTGCACTCCCAGAGCTGTCTCTTTCCAGGGAGGTCTGTGCCTCGGCTAGAGACAGAGGCCAGGGGCCAGAAGCCAGCCCTCAGGAGGGCCCTGATGCCCACCCAGCAGCTGAGCCTCTGTCCCAGCTCCTGTGGCTCGGGATGTCCCCCCTTCAATGTGTCTCTATCTCCACCAGGCCCCTGTTCGTGAATCAGGGGCGGAAAGCCTGACACATGGCCTGATAGGGTCCATCTGAGACAGAGGCCCAGAGAGGGGAAGGGGCTTACCCAGGGCCACACAGCATTCCAGCAACAGAACCAGAACCAGCAACCGCAGCCTCTAATCATGTGCAGTACTGGGTCTCTGAAAGCTCTCAGCTGGCTCTCGTA